ATTTCTCAGAACAATTCACTTCACCATTACATGTGCATGAAATTGAGTAGCTCCAGCACTCGACTGAGTGAGAATATGATGCTTCCTTTGTGTGGTCTGCCTGGATAGCAGCATGACATCAACATAGTCTCCATTGACATATCTCCCTCCACATATGGAGGGCCAAGGACTCAGTCAGCTCACAAAAGTTTGTAGCAATAAACTTTCAAAGTAACTACCAGCAGAAACATATTCTCTCTCCATGTTGTTGTGACTCTCACGGGGAACACTTGCTGGTAGATGTCAGCTTTTTCTGCATAATTCTTGGTGGGTTTTTTTTTTTTTTGAAACTCAATATCCTTCTTGATGATCTTTTTACTCTATAACTAGTGAGTCAGCTAATACATGGATCAGATTATAGAGGGACCACATGTAGGGCAGATGATATTTGCCTCACTGGTGATTTGACAACTAGTAGTACATGTCTTGCTCTGAGGAGGCCTTGATCATCGAGTGGAGAATGTCAGGGGTTCCGGTTGACTATGGATTCCTTCAGCTTCCTCAGTTCTCATAAAGGGTGCTGTGAGAGAAGAAAAGGCAATCAGATCCAACAACAGCCTTGCTGGTTTTCTGGTTAGACAAATTCAGGGCTTATTCACACATAGCAAATGAGAATCAAGGAGAAACATCCACCCCACAAATGCCATGTTGCTGGGGATGGGATGTCATGGTGACTCACTTGCTTAAGACACTTAGTGCTCCTGCTGCAGCAGCTCTGTTGGCAAGAGGCTCTCATCCTGAGCTGTGGACTATTCCAGCTCATGTTGGAGATTTTCTGACCTAGAGAAGGAAGTCAGTAAGGGCAGAGTCCTGGTGGGGTCTGCCATGTCACCTGTAAGTCTGTGATATCACAAGAAATCAATTGTGCTGGAGAGTCAACAATGATCTTTGACAGCAGTCATTATTTGTACCCCTAAGGAGTCAGTGTCACAGAATAGCTGGGCCTTGGATTATTTTCTGCCCTTAACAAGTATTAGATGTTGATCTGAGTACTTTATGTACTGTGCTCTATGAGAAAGAACAGGACATTTTCCTACAGTCTAAGGACATCATTTAAACAAAAGGAGTAGCATATTAAAGTCATACATAATAGCAGAGTGGAGATACACAGACTGTTCATGATGAGTTTCTCATCGACCACCTCATTTTTTTTCCTTGTCCAATTTCTGTTTATTTCTTTCTAGGCAGAGTTACAATATGCATCTCTGACTGACATGATACATATGCTAGGATGGCTAAAAGAAGCCAGAGATTTCCTGCCTGTGCTCCCAAAGAGCTTGGATTAAAGACATGCACATTCACATACACCTGTCCTTATTCCTGATTTTAATTGATATTATTTTATTTTCTCTCCATGTTGTATAATGCTGTCACAGGTTGATATAGAAAACCTAAAATTTCAAGTTGTGTTCCTTCTGTTCTTTTTTTAGAGGGATTACATGAGTAAGCGTGGTAAAGATCTTGATGGGGAAATCTACAGAAACAACTGAACCAAGCTCAAAGGAACTCAGGATGTTTGAGGGGCCCCTGGAAGTGCGATTAGGCTCGATTCCTGGAGCATAAGCTGTCTTTTTGGATCCCATTACCTAAGGTTGAACACCTTGCTCTTGCTTGATAAAATGGGGAGGGGCTTGGTCCTGCCTCAACAGAATGTACCAGGCTTAGCTATGCCACCATGGGAGAACTTACCTTGTTGGACGAGGGGATGAAGGGTGGGAGGAGAAGTTGGGTGGAGAGTGGGAAGAGGGAAGAAAGTAGGATGTGTGGTTAGTATGAAA